TCTGTCTGCCGCCCCATCTTCACCCTGTTTTCGACGCCATCCCTTTCGCCTCGCTTGTTTCAGACCTTTCACACCCAGTCAGTCACACTGCGTCGTTGTGTGCTGGCCGTTTTCGTACTTTTCATCGCATTCGCATTCCGCCTCGCGTAATACATTAACACCGAGGGAAGAAGAGCATTTCGTGCCCCCTTCGGATGAGTAATATCTCCGTTGTGTGTGAAGATGAAGACGAAGCAATGCGCGAAAGTACCGTATGAGTCAACTAAACACCGTGGAGATGTATTCGGAATATGTACAATATGAAAAACGTGCGCAAATCCACCAATTGTCTAATAATTTAATTAAATTGCACGCAGCACGGCGCGTAATTTTCATCATCAACAATGCACAGCATTCATGTGCGCATGCATGCATTTTCATTAGTTTCGAGCGCGATATAAAAGCGCATCAAATTACAATGCACATCATAATTAAATTAGGATCAACTTAACTAAATTGTTGCGCTTGTAAAACGCGCCGCAAGAACGCGTAAAACGATGTTGTCGCATCTCCCGGCGCGTGTGCTTTTGTGACAATTCCGTCATATGCAGAGCATCGTTTTGGGATGGCGCAATTTTACCGCGACATTTACGATCGCACGTTCCACCCACGCGCACAATAGTATTTTTGTTGTCGATGGCATAAACGCAACTGAAACGCGCCAAAGTCGTAAAAGCTTAAACTAAAATTTAACTACAATCTTATTTGGTTATTAAATTTTGACGTATTTTTTACTCAAATATACAATTTAACTACATTGCACGCAAAGTTATACTTGGCTATTGATGAAAAAAAATAAAGTGTTAATATTTATACGCGGGAAATACCAAAAAAACGTTGATTTACGTTTAATGCCGCTGTTTAAAAAGCAAATTGAATTTTACTTTTGTTCGCATTACGGCTGTGCAATACACAAATATTAATATCAATGCCTGTACAACAATACGTAGCTAACATCTATTGTAGAGAGAGTGGAAAATTGTGTTCGGCGTCCGGTTGATTAATTTTTTGCTTACTATTCAGTTTGCGCTCGGGCAGCATACACACAAAAACGCGCTTATTTTCGCTCATATGTTTTGCGGAAAAAATTCTGATTACACGTCAGACGTCGCGACGGCGTCCTGCACACTTGCGCAAATTAGCAATGTGTTAAAACATTAAATATTTACGTTGATAGGAGCAAAACTTTCCATGCCATTGCGCGACAGAAATTTAAACTAAATATTTGATTGTTTCCGAACTGTTTCGACAATTTTAAGATTAAAATATAAATAGTCAAAGCTTCAAAATTAATAAAATGTGCGAAAAGAGGCCAACCCGCAAAAAGGAGTGGGGGTATAGTGAGTTTAAAACACCAAGCACTTTTACCTCAATTAACTTTGGAGTTAAAGACTCCAAAGAAATAATATATCTACACATGGACTACTTTAATAGTTTACTTCATTAAATAATATAAAGCACCCTGTACGGTTCTATTTTAAAACCTGCTATTCTGTCTATTCTCCTTAAATAAAACATTTCGCATTTCGCGTTCAAAATATAAAATCCTCTTCCGAGTACTACTAGCATACATTTATTCCTAGCGTAACACGAAAAACACAATAACATTGAATATGACAGCGTATTCCAATAATATATTCAAGAATACCTGAATTATTTAATCGCAAGAGTGCTGAAAATATATAATCTGTTATTTTCAAAGCGCGCTGCTTCGCGCATAGAAGAAAAATTGTTTATTGTTTAACTGAGTCGGAGAGTGTGTACTTAATGCGCGTTGCTCGCAGCAACGAAACGTAGACGATACGCAGCAGAAAGCAAGCAACACGTCAACGAACGAACAGCCTCACCGAATTGAGGCGACTCGCCGCCGCGCCGAATAAATACAAACAGATGGTATCGGAGCCGATGTGACTGTATCAAGATGCAACGACAACTAATCTTTATTTACTGTCGGCGCACGAGTGCAGCCAGACGCGCGAATGACAAACACGAAATCTCGCCCCCCACGCCCGTTGAACCATCTGATAATGGCGCAGAGGCAGCGTAATTAAAATTGAATGAAAATAACCTTTAGTTCAACGTGTGTAGCATGAAAATTTAACGCGGCGCGCTTTGATCAACACACAGTCTTCGAACGAGGTTAATTCGCAAAGAAAAATACGTTTCATCAAATAAATACGCCGTTGCGCACAAGAATGTATTAATAAACGGATGTACTCGTAGGATGTGCTGCTGGTAGGATGTAACCGTACCGAAACAACGCGCGCCGCGTTACATCGACGAAGTTTGCGTCGTTCCGGGCGCGTTTTGATTTAATAACCGCCCCCGCGAACAACAAGTTATCCCTCGCGCGCGGATTAAGGCGCAGGCAGAGGGCATCGAGCATCAGGCATCGGGCATAAACATTCGCACGCTCGCTCGCACGTACTAATGCCGGCTGTTTACGACGCCGCGAGGCCTGCTGAAGAGGTAAACTTTCGCCGCGCTCTACTTGATGGAAGGCGGAGGCGCCGGGTGGAGGCGCCGGGCGCAAGGCGCGTCTCTCTAGCTCTCGGTCAGTGGTGTACACAACACGACAAGAAAGGAGAGTAAAACGTCCTGCTAGCACGGGTTTAATCTCAGTACGCTAACTAACGAGGCATTAATACGCATAAAATATTACGTTTTAATTAACTCCGCCTGCAATCTCGAATAAAATCTTACGGCGCACTACAAATCTGCTCACTAACAAGGTATTTCCACCTCTACCTCTAACCTAGAAGTTCAGATATTTTGTATGAAAAAAAGCGTCGATTTCTAAATACAATAGAATATTCCAACTATGAATCTATGATTGAGCGACGGCCGCAAAGAGAATCTCTATTACGAGCAGCGTAAATAATTCGTTCGCCTTGATGCGTACGCCGAAAAGGAATATGCAAACGCGTTCGTTATTATTATTGCCGCGCGCGGCGGTGTTATGTGGGCCGCATTTTATTTGGCGACCGGCGCGCGCCCTGAATGGGAACTACTAGAACATTACGGCCATAATAGAATATTTAAAGAATTGCGCTGCGTAATAAAGAACAGTCGCGAATCGCTAAGTAACTACTTTGACGCCGGAATTTACGATTGCAAGGTGCTTAATGCCAAACATAAAATATTTACTGAGTGCACTTTACAATCACTACAATATTAGATAAATTTTTTGAAGTAAAAAAATTCTATTTAATGTCTAGACAGTAAAATGTTTTTTTTTTATGCGGACAAAGATTTATGTTGTTGTTATTGATTCTCATTTATGAAACTTGGTTCAATTATTTTGGTAAATCAGAAAACTTTGCATAAATGTACAAACGGTTAAAACACAAACTAAGGGGCATTTTCAATCAACCATATCTTATCGAAAACGTGAAACTTCTTCGCAGCAACGAAAAGCATCGCGCGCGCTTGTAAAAGATAACGAGCACAATCGCATAAACCAAGGAAAAAACGTTCGCTCGCCTTGCAAGTGTGCCAGTTACTAGAAAGCAGGACTCGTAGAAACAACTGCGAAGTAATTTAAATAGAAAGATGGTGGGAGTGGGTTCGCCCACAAACGAGATGACAAACATCCGCGGAATTTCCATCGTTATTTATCGCGCACAAAGCGATCGATTTGTTTATTTCCCTTTTGCTATTTATAACTAAAAATAAAACAACGGAAATTTTCCACCGAGATGAAAAACTGATTTCTAAAATTAGTATAATGTTAGACTGAAGGTGAATATAAAGTTAAATAAAAGTGGATTAAATTACGATTGTGTAGCATGAATTATGTTTGACTTGCATCACAAGAATGTGCTTTTTACAGCGGTGGTGGCTGCCATGAATGCATACGCGATGCAGACGTGCGCGAAAAAGGTTCCACGGCTAGTTATAATCTTATAATAATAAATTCGCATAATTGAATGCATAAAAATTCTTATACGAGCGGATTTTTACGAGTCGCCGAGACATACTTCACCCGCACGCGCTCCGCGCCACCGGTCGGTCGTTTTATTGCGACTCTAGTAATACGACTTCAAACTAGCCATTCGGCTGCCTGTGGGGGTGGCGCAGGCGAGGAGCCAAAGAGCACATGCCGCGTCATTATTGTTCTCATTATTTTATTACGCCGCACACATCCGCGCGCGGGCGGGCTCCGCGTTTTTTTTTTTGCTCGCGCAAATTGCATGTCAAACAAACACCCGCCGAACCCGCCGCCCCAACCGCCCCCGACCTGTGAATTGCCAAGAAACTCGCAAACTGTTTACTTTCCGCCAATGTTACCCACTCTCATATTATAACGAAGTTAATATTACATTCAGAATTGTATTTCAAATATTTTCATATAATAATTTCATGCATTAATTAATTAATTAAGTAATTATTTTTTTTATATACAAATATTTTTATTTCTATTCAAAAGAAAATTGTTATGAATTGATTTTTGATTTGAGCTGTGATAGGGTTGTTTTCAGTTGGAATTTGATGCAGATTTTGAGGTGGTTCGTAGAGAAGCGCAAGTAAATCCGTCACTGCGCACGTGATACCAACGGGCCCGCATGTAGCGTGGCATACATCGCTTTAACGTTTTCGTTGTCGCCGAGTGTTTGCGCATAATTTTCCCCGTGTTTTCTTTGAATATCGCCGACCGTAATAACCTAATAACGTTGCGCAAACACACAAACAAGCAAAATGTCATTGCCTAGAAGTAGGACTAGGGCGCGCAACAAACATTTCCGCCTTTATTTTACCGCGCGAGTTCGACCAGTTCTCGTCCAGTGCCGTGGTTGTTGTTTTTTCTTCATTTTCTCATATTTAAAACCAGCGCAATTAAGCGACATGCTAGGCGTCACATTAAATCCGGACTCAGCAATCACGTTCGGTATCAATTTGTATTTTTTGAAATTCGAAAAAATACACGTCGAAATTAAAACAAAAGTTTCGTTCAACATTACCTGCAATCAGACATGCGATCAAATACACGCAGGCACATCGCAGGCGTCGAAGCATGGTGGATGAAGACGTGAAGAACTCCCTCGGCTTTACTTTTCGTGTGCTTTCGATTACTCGTCGGGTACAGGTTAGTTAGTCCCAGGAAAATTACTCGCCGGCGCGCATTAACAAAATTGCATTAATTTTTCAATCAGTGCGAATGCGATCGAATCAGTCCCGGGCGCGCTCATAATCGTTTCACGTGTGACGCGGACTGTAAATACCGGTGTGTCTATATCCCCGGCACGAGCCGATTGTAAACTGTTATGACCACCATAACAATAAAAATAAAACTAAAGCAAGAAGACAAAAAGTCGAATTGATAGGCGGCGCGGCGCGCACGCGATCCGTGCAGGGATCGGGAGATGCGATGCGAGTGTTTGGCCACGCGATGCGAATGCGAAAACGCGCAGCGGTGGCGGCAAGTCGACGGGCGGCAGCGGTGTGCGCGATCGTCCTGCCGGTGGCGTACTGAACGCCGTGCGCGCAAACTTTTCCAAAGCCGGCCGTATTTCCACCCCCAGCAGCGAGAGAACCAGCGCGAGCGCAAACTCGACCATCAAACCCAACTGATTTCAAGCGATAACGTTTTTGATCCACACAACAAGAAAATGTTGCGCTGAAAAAAAACACAACTTTATCTACAACTTTAAAATTGGCTAACATCTGCGCACGCGGAAATGTGCGGATGCTGATAAGTCGCTTTTGCGACTCTAAATAAAATTATTTAAATTGCGCACCACGCATTTGTAATTTTAATTTGATTTATACTAAACGCCGCACTACTTAATGCAAAAACCCACGCTCCGACACTCTATAAAGCGGAAGCAAACGCGTGCGATACGCATAAATCAAGCAAAAAAAACGGACCGTAGAGATGGAGAAAGACAAAAATTTCATGCAACTTTTATGCGCATAAAGCATAATCTGTCATCTACTTCAAGTTCCACACTCGCCTCCTCCTATCGCTTTTCTTATCCGTATCGTAAATATAACATATAACCAACTTTCACATATATTCCTACCGAGGGTCATTGAAAACAATAAAAAATCGTGTGAATTGCGGACATTTATGAATATTTCGCTAATCGAAATAAAGAAAAAACGTTCTAAAAGTAAACTTTTGTGCATATGAAGAAAAACATTGCTTACAAACCGCTTGGGAGTTGTACAATGTAACAATTTGCATTGTTGTCGACAGATTTACGTAAAATAATACGTAGTTTTGCTATTTATTTCTATTAAAATAAATTTTCTGCATTATTTTCGACTACGCGACGAAAAAAACGAATTTTATACGTTTATTATACGAAATGTTATGATATTCAGTTTTAAACTTTGTTTGTGTTGTTACAGTTACCCACTTGGTGGATGAATAAGTGAAGTGGTTGGCGCACGCCGCACGAAGAATCGCGAATGATAATGAACCAAGGGAAATAACTCGACGCATATATTTGTAGATTGTAGTTGCGGGCAAGTAGAGCTGCATACAATGCCCCCCTTATATTATTGTTCATCCCCCTAATGGTCCCGCGCGCCTCGCCCGAAGTCGGTTCGGGTTTCACAACAGCATCCACCACCGCGCCAGCGAGCGACGTTCGCGGTTATGCATGAAATAATATTTCAAAGTCCGTCATCGCGTCGACTTCCACAGCCGCCCGCCCGCTGAAGTTTCTACTTGTGTGCTCGCTGATTTCTTGGCGGCGTATTCCCCCGTCGTCGTGAACTATGCATGCTCGGGGTTTCGGTTTCGGCGGCGGCGGCCAAAAAAACCACCACACACGCGCGGCGTGTGCTCGAAACACAAGCGCGCAAAAGACGGCGGGCCATCCGGAAGTCGAACGCGATATAAAATTATAATGAGCGCCCACACATTGATGCAATATTCATCGTCCGAAGAAAACCGAAGCTAAACAAGAGGCGCACCACTAAATATTTGTACGCCTCCTGCGAGTGTAGGTACTGATTCAATCTTTTGATCCTAACACACGTTTCCGGCTTGTCGGGCTTGCGCTGGCTTCGAATTTTGTTTTCGGCGTGTTATTCAATAACTCCCGACGCGCGTCGAGCCGCGTGTATGAGTTATAGTTTCGCGGCGCGAAGAAAACACATTGTGTTTCAGGTTTCGCGCGCCGCGTTTGATTTCACGACTTTGGGATTATTATGAATTCAACGTCAGCGCCGACTCAAGTTCGCACCTGAAAGCTTTGCCGAAATGTGTGCGCGCTGCGCCGACGATTATATTGCTGCTAGGCAGTTCGGTGAATTCTCTCCGATGTTATTAAAGTATTATTTGCAACGTGAGCATTCCAGCCCCCTGCCTGCCGATACAAATAGAAAACGCATTTGCGGAATTAAATTCAAATTCCGTTTTGACTCGCGGATACGAATTCACGCCTAGTTGATTGATTACGATAGTTCGAGACGCGTAATTGTGTGAATTCACTTACCTATATATTTCGGAGGTTACAGGGTGAAATCCATCTGTAACAAATAAGAAAATATTCGATTAAATAATGAAAAAATCATCGTTTTTTTCTTATGTTATTTTTTTATGGTTTTACGAGTAAAATCCACGAAAATATGGCTGGAATTAATTAGGGTGGTTAGTTTAGCGCCGTAATTTTTATTTATTTTTGCGCCCTGAGTCCGGCAAGACACTGAAAATACTCCAATTCAATTTTCCTCGAACCCCGACGACATGAGTTGTCGTCGTCCATAATATAAGTAAATAAAGTAATAAAATCTCGGACATTGTTTGGCCTGACCCGATTCGTCAATAGGAAAAGCGCATCTCGAAAGATCGACGACTCCATGAATCGTCCTGCAGAGAGGGAGGCGGCGGTTTGCACATCCGAGTGTTTTCCACGAACGCGTGTGCTTGCTTCGATCTCGCCCCCCGCGAAAGGAGACCGACCGACTGGCGCCGCGCCGGGTCGTTTTTAGGATTATTGCTCAATAGTCGAGGAAAACTTCTTCTCGTGCATCTCGCGTTTCCCTGCAGCCGCCGCCGCGGCGTCTACGCGCAAGAGGGGAAACGAGCGTGCGGGCCACCCCGCACCGATTATATTCAGTTATGTCATTAAATGTGCGCTCGAGCGTCTTTTGTGTATTTACGATTTCAAGACGTGGAGGAGATGACGAAGACGCCGAGCGCGCACGGCAGGGGGGCGGCGGCGGCGGCGGCGGCAAACTACGCGGATGAATACGTAAACGATACGGCTGTATAACCGCGGCGCGAGCCAAGCAGTCAAGGAGGAAAAGGGAAAAGATGCGCCTACCGCACGATGGGGGAGGCGGGCGCTGGCAACCGCGGTGTATGTGCGATGATGACATGAATAATAGGCCAGGGGGGCATAAAGAAGATTGCAAATTAGTTCAATTCACCAAAGTGCTTCATAAAAATGTACGCCGCTATAATAGTCGTCAAATGAATTGATAATTTTTTAAATTTACTTCTTTTATTGTACAGTTCCCCTCCTTCTCAACACTCCCCTCCAACACATAATAAATTCATGCACTTAATTTCGAAACTAATTTGACTCGCTTTTGCGAAATTTATCAGATTGAGTTAAAATGGCGGAATTTCGAGCGCAGTTAACAGCAGACTAACTTTCGATTTCGCACATAATTGCAAAGCACTCCCATACGTGTGGCGCGATTAGATGTACCTCATAATAGGGTAATTTAACTGATAGCGTACACCGTCTATTATGTAGCGAAAAGTTATCGATTGCCCGCTTGCCGGCGCGGTGCCTCGGGCCGCGACATCCGGTAAGTTCGCTTTAATTGTGTGTCGACGAAATAATGCCGACGACGACGTCTTCATTTAACAAGCCGATATTAATAGCGGCCAATCAATTCATCGACGGCGCCGCCGCCCATTTCCAATCAAGCATTTAATGGCTGTGCAGTTTATAACCGTCACTCTGGCAGTGCTAGAGCACTACCTAGACACCTGGCTGTTTTCATGCTCTTTGCAAAAATGACCTTTTCGGTGCGCACGTTGACGGAACAGTAAAATTTTATGCGCTGCTGCTACAAGTGTTTGTTTTAATGCGCATTCAATATTTGCTCCAAATGAATAAAATATATATTCAAAATGCGAACGCGTAAAAAATGCACTCGTAAAATTCAACCGGCTAATATTAGACACGTGTATCGACTTACACGGGGAACAATAGAATGCAGACGAATAAAAATATTGTCTTTCATGTTTTGTTTTCGAGGTGAAACAATTTTTGTGAAGGCGTATCAAGTTGCGCAAAAGGCGCTGTTTTTTCTTGTCCACCAACTAAGAAAGATATTCTTCCAGAGAAGAAAAAAACAGGGCTACAAACTTTTAGAGGCCCTGGGGTCTGTCGACGGGTATAAAAATAGCTGTGACCTTAGACACAGAAATTCTAAACAGTTTAAAGGTGAGTCCTCAAGCGAGGCTACAAAAAAACTAAATACAAAGTGAAGTCTTCGGGCGGATGGGGAAAAATTAATTACAGACACGTCGACTACTCGTTTGTGTCGATATATCACATCGTCAAAGTCCAGTTTTTTGCCTCACAAATCAAAATAATTAACAGTTTAAAAGTAAAGTGTAAGTATTAGCTCTTTAAGCCTAGAAAAAAACACTTTACTGCTGATAAAACATTATCAACTTCTTTTAAATTTATGTAAACAATAAATATTTCATATCAAGTATGCGTACTTGGCGTGATTTTATATCTCTAATCCACGTGGAGTGGAAATTTTCCTACATTTACGATACGGTGGCGCTATCAGTGATTCAATTCCGAAAGTATTATCGACCTAGAACTAGCAAACTTTCACTCTAATGCCAGACGTCATTTACATTGACTTCAATGCTACTTTATACGCTAATTACCAATTTGGAAACCTTGCAAAACATAATTGATTGCCCAACATAATTTCGCAATCAAGCAGGCAGCAAGAAACGATTATGATTAAGAACGAGTCATAATCGTTCGCGCACAATCAGCATACGCACTCCCCCTTCTTGCCTGCCCCACCTTTCCAATGTTGGTCACCGCAGCTGACACTGACAACACTGATAACCAAGGCCGGTAGCTGTATGGTAGATGTATTGGTCTGTACTGACGTACGGAGTGCTACCATAGCTGCTACTGACAGCGTTTACTGACGCAATACAAATAAAAACCATTCCTGCCACGGGCAAACCACCCTTTTGGTGTTCCCAAGTCTATACCAAAGTATCTACAAGCAATCTACGCGTTTTTACAAACCAGAGCAAGTCGGAGCCGCATTGTGGGGGGGGTTACAACACTTGGAATTATCAGCAACCGGCGGAGGCGAGTGAATCGGTTCGAATTGAACGCAGTACGCGCGGATTATGTGGGTGGAAAGGTTATGAGTACGGCCTCGAAGAGGCGGCTACCATGGGCAAGTGCGTGCGACGTATGAGGGCCATGTGGTGGATGACTGCGCTCCTCTGGCTGGCGGCCCTTGGGTCCCCCGTGCGGGGGCAGTTCAGCGACTTGATCAACTGCCTTCAGATGAATGCTAGATTCGTGGGGTATATACCAAAGGGAGACATGGCTGCAGGTATTTATCTAAAAATAAACTCCTTTGGAAGTCCATTTGATTGGTGTTGTTTTTATAGGGACCTTTGATGAGATCAAAGACATACAATCGGAAAAACATTGTGTCCTGGCATGTTGCCAGAAAGATGAGTGCAATGTAGCTTTCATGACCGCTGAGAAATGCTATCATATCACTTGTGCCAGTAATGAGCTATGCATGCCTGTTCTAAGTCCCAAAGTGGCTACCAGGAACCAGTTTGCAATGGTACTGGTCAGGGCTGTAGGAGATGACAACTGGGAGAATTTGCTCAGCAAAAGAGGTATGATTAACAAATTAATTATTTATGTTTATCCTCCTCCTGCTTTGGTATCAAATGTACAAGTCATTCATGCATGGGGATCAATACCGTACGAGTTTTCGTCGTTTTAATCATCGATTGATGATGGAATTTAAATAATTGAATGCATACGAAACGTTTCCTCTTAACTGTATGCGCACAAACAATGCGAGCTTATCTATACACTGGGTCTTATCGCTTGCCTGGTGTATATTACCGTGCATCACACGCATCATGCCTGAGTTGAAACCATATTCACGAAATGGGAGCAGAGGACGATAAAGATTTCATGCATGAAATTGAAAAAAAGTGTTCTATCTTTATCAGAAACCCATGGGTGATAAGAAAATCTCATTAAGTTATTCGTGTTGACTTTTTAGATCAAATTGAGAATGCGTACCCGGAAGGTATGCAGCTAGGTGCGTCTTCTTTAGCCGCTAGCAAAAGTTGTAATGTAGGGATACCCGACTGTGGGAATAATGAAGAATGCGTTCAAAATTCTCCCAAAAGTAGGGCGGGAACTTGCCGCTGTAAGGAGCACTATATTCGTAATTCTGATGGAATTTGCACACAGAGTGCGACTACAGAAGCTACAAATGCAGTGGCTTCATCAACACAAATCACCAAAAGAAAATTGAAGGTGGCTGTGGAGAATGCGGAGATTCAGTTACCACAGAGTGAAGTCAATCTGAAAGCATTCGCTACTCCAGAACCCCAAGAAAACGAGAAGTATAACTACGATTGGACGTCTTTAAACCAACCAGATGGAAGCAGCGCGATCAAAAAACAAAACGGTGATGAACTGCAACTTACAAAACTCTCCGAGGGGCTGTACACGTTTAAAGTGAACGTGTCCAGTGAATTCTCCTATGGTGAGACGTTTGTGAACGTCACAGTCCTCGCTCAGGCCAGGATCAACCAACCGCCGAAGATTGTCATTACCCCCGCCAATCAAACCATTAAACTACCCACAACGGAAGCTGTCTTGGACGCGTCTCCAAGCACAGACGACAATGGCATTGTCAGTTACCACTGGGAACTCCAGCAAGGCCCAGTTGGTTACCAACCCCACTTTTCCGAACTCTCAATGTTAGCGCTTAAAGATCTGACCAAACCTGGCAATTATACCTTCAAACTAACCGTCACGGATACAGATAAAGCCACATCGTCAGCAACTGCAAATATCACTGTCCTACAGGAGACTGACTATCCCCCAGAGGCGAATGCAGGTCCCGATGTGATTGTATACCTGCCACATAAGGACCTGCAGTTGAACGCGACGATGAGCAGTGATGATCACAACATCACCACCTGGGAGTGGACGAAAATCGACACAAACCTCGCGGTGGATATGCAAGACACCCGCACACCGATACTAAAACTGTCGAATCTTGAGGAAGGCATGTATACCTTTCAACTTAAGGTGACTGATAGTGCAGGGCAGAGCAGTACTGCGAAGGTACACGTGTTTGTGAAACCACCAACGAATCAACCTCCTGTTGCCAAGGCTGGTGATAATATCACCATCAGTCTACCGCAAACATGGGTTGTGGTGAATGGCAACCAAAGCACGGATGACAACAAAATCGTTGATTTCAAGTGGAGTCAAGTGGAAGGACCCAGCACAGCTGTATTTACAACACAGAACGCAAGCATTACAAACGTTACATCCCTCACCAAAGGAAATTATGTGTTTAAGATCACTGTTACTGATGATAATGGAAACTCCGCGAGTGCGTTACAATATGTAACAGTTGATCAAAGTAAGAATCACCTCCTTACTTTGTTCTAATTAATTCCTAATCAAATGTATTTTTAGACAAAAATCAGAAGCCGATTGCAAAAGCGGGTGATGATTTCGAAGTGGTACTACCACAGACTGTGATTTACATGAACGGATCCCAATCCAGTGATGATTGGGCGATTGTGAAATGGAAGTGGACCAGAGCAGAGAATTCGCTAGCCTATGGCCAAATTGGGGAACGATCCGAAGACACGCCGGTGTTAATTCTGACTGATGTTGTTCCTGGCAGGTATATTTTTAACCTGACCGTGTATGATGAACAGGGGACTGAGCGACACTGACTCTGTGACGGTCACAGTACGAGCAGATCCCAATCTGTACTTTTTGGTTGAGATGATCATCAACGCCGATATCAAACAGTTGACGCACACACAGTACGAAAACATGAAGGGAAAACTTGCACTTTTGGTGCAGGACCAAACAAAATTACAGGTAAGATATTAATATAGATATTAAAGATTTTTTAACTGAGAACATTCTCCTGAAGGTTCAAGAATTAAGTTCAGAAGTAGGAACAGAACGAGTTATTATACAGTTTTACATCGAACAAAGCGATGGGAAGTCAATGGACGCCAATATGGTTGTGAAGCATTTCCGTGAGAAGCTTAAAGTGGACGCAGATATCCTCGGCTTCTCTGTAAGTGGTCTCCAGACAGTGATTTGCCAGAATAATTGTTCTGGGCATGGTCTATGTGATGAGCGCACGCGGATCTGCAAATGTGACACATTTTGGATGCGAGACATGCTCAAAGAGTACTGGGACGCAGATGATGACTCCGACTGCAGCTGGAGTATCCTCTATGTGGTGTTGGGTGTGTTGTGCTTCACCCTCACAGTGGCAGGTGCCATCTGGGGCTTGATCTATCTCTGCTTGAATAATTGTTCGTGTCGCTCGGAGGCCAACAAGCCAACGAGTTATAAACTTATCGAGAATACCGACGACGTGCGCAAGGTGGATATCAGTGACACAGACTCCGACAGCGATGTGGTTTTCGAGTCGAGGAATAAGAGTCGCTACAGCGGGGAGTCGCGTAATGGTCACAAACGCAATGGTTTCGTCAAGATGGGCCGGCGTATCAAGACCTAACTGAGCGTGGCTCAGCGAATGGAGCGGGCGGAAAGACTGCGACTAAGTCGCTTGCGCAATTGAACACATTTCAAGTTAAATCGAAAGAAACAAAGCAACATATTGTGCCTACCTGTACTAAATTGCAAGTGTTAGTTACCCGATTGGTTCTTTTCGTATAAATTATCAATGACTTTAAGAGATTGAATCGTACGCCAAACTGATTTGATTGTGAATAATGTTAAGTAATTGCAAATACCATCCATACATGTGATTATTAGTTTAAAATTTTCTAGTCATGGCCGCGTGTCGCCATTCCAATAATTTAGATATACGATTGGCACAACCTAATACACACAAACAAATCTAGTGTTAACGAAATTTAGACTTACTTTCAACTTATTGTAGTGTCAAAACCGAAAACATAGGTCTCAGGAATTGGGCAAATGTGGCGTGAGAAATGTGATGATGCGAATTCATTTTATACGGAATAGACGCGATGTGTGAACGATGTTCCTTTCTTTCACAACAAATCACGCAATTTGTATTATTTGGTACTTAAGTCTGTATGAATTCAGAAGGTTTGTGCACATTCTTTGCATTTTATGTCGATTGTAAATGCGTTTCGGAATAAAGATGTTAGATTTACAAATGGCCACCGCTGTGCACACAACGACCGTTGAAAATTTGCATCTTGTTATCTTATTACAAACTTTCAAATCATGCAATATGCAAGTCTCAACATAATAAACAAAGTATGTACTCACCCTGGATGCAGATGCCCCAAGGAATGACCCCAGCCACACAAAAATCACAAACTGACCAGCTTTTTACGTTTTTACGTTCGTATAACCACAACGAATCTTTCACAATGCCGGTATGGTTTTTGCGATAAACAAATTTTGTTTTTCTAACACGAACAGCGCCTCTAGCGGCGACTTTGAAAACTAAAACCGCGTCATATGAATTTTAACCTGTAAAGGGGGGGTGGTATCAACGTTAGGCAAACATTCATAAAGGTTTTACTTAAATTAATGTATAATTATTAATTGTTTTGCAATGGCAGAAAAAAGGAAAGCTGAAGATACGGCATTGGCGCCTGTTTCCCCAAAGAAAATCCGCAATGATGTGGCTGTTTTGAGGAAAAATTATCAAGTTGCAGCCAGTGTAAGTACCACACCGCAAAACATCAACACTTACTGATTTATTTTTCTTATTTAATAGAATGTACCACGTACATCGAACCTATTCGCACCTATAATGCTCTTGCAAGGCCATGAGGGTGAAGTATTCACTCTGGATTTCCATCCAGAAGGACAATATTTAGCATCATCTGGTTTCGATAGAAAATTATGTAAGAAAATGAATTATTATTGCGATTGTATAGTAATATTGCTTGATTTTAGTCTTGTGGTCTGTCTACGGTGAATGTGAGAATGTGAATGTATATGCAGGACACAGTGGGGCTGTAACACAAGTCAAATTCTCATTAGATGGCAATAATCTTCTCAGTGCGAGCACAGATACCACACTAGGTTTGTGGGATTTAGTCGCAGGGCAGAGAATAAGAAAGTATAAAGGCCACACGAGTTTTGTAAACGCATTGAGCGTGACACGCCGTGGACCACAGATAATCTGTTCAGGCAGTGATGATTATACAGTCAAGCTGTGGGATGTCAGGAAGAAACTCCCTACGGCATCAATGGATTCGAGTTTCCAAGTCACAGCTGTGAGTTTCAACGGCACAGGTGATCAAATCTTCAGCGGTGGTATTGATAATGATATCAAAGTATGGGACACGCGGAAGAACGAAGTGTTGTACTCGATGAAGGGCCATTTGGACACAATCACCGGGCTGACATTAAGCCCGGATGGTGCGTATTTATTGTCGAATTCCATGGATAACACGCTGAGGATCTGGGATGTACGGCCGTATGCACCACATGAACGCTGTGTGAAAGTTCTGCAGGGCCAACAGCATAATTTCGAGAAGAATCTCATCCGATGCAACTGGTCACCGGATGGCTCGAAGGTGATTTCCGGCTCAGCGGATAGATTCGTCTACGTTTGGGATGTGCAAGCGCGCAGGGTGTTGTACAAGTTACCTGGACACAATGGTTGTGTGAATGATGTTGCTTTCCATCCGTATGAACCGATTATCGTGTCTGGTTCCAGCGATAAACATATTTATATCGGGGAGATTGATCCCTAGACTTTGATTGATTTGATATTTGTGTTTTTTCCAAACTTTTTACTTACTAAATCATGTCTTGTGTTGATTGCGATAAAATTTACGACTTTTGATGTTAAATTCCTTTTATTTCCGCATTTCGTTCGTAGTTACATGTAATACGAAAGAGCGCTGTATGGCAGGGCCCCCTTAACAGCAGCCGCCACAACATGGCACCTCCGGGCAGCATGGGCCACAGCATGGACTGCAGCAGTATGGTCGGCAAGGCACTTCCGGGCCGCAGTTATTCGGGCATGGGCAGCAACCGGCTCCGCATGGTCCACAAGGGCCACATGGACCGCAACATGGGCTGCAGCATCCTCCGCACGGGCCGCATGGACCGCAGCATCCTCCGCATGGACCACATGGTCCGCAGCATGGTCCACAAGGGCTACAAGGGCCGCAACATGGGCTGCATGGGCTGCATGGACCGCAGCAAGGTCCACATGGGCTGCATGGACCACAACATGGTCCACAAGGGCTGCATGGTCCGCAGCAAGGGCTACATGGGCTGCATGGACCGCAACAAGGTCCGCATGGGCCGCAGCATCCTCCACATGGACCACATGGACTGCAGCAAGGTCCACATGGGCTACATGGTCCGCAACAAGGCCCACATGGGCTGCAACACGGTCCACACGGTCCACAAGGTCCGCAACATGGGCTACATGGCCCGCAAGGACTGCAGCAACTTGGCGGACAACAAGGCCCGCATCCAGGAGCACATGGGCAGCATACCGTTGGGCATGGGCAGCATGGAACCTCCGGACAGCACTTTGTCGGGCAAGGTCCACACTTTGGCGGGCAGCACTTTGGTGGACAGCAGGCACTGCCACAGCATGGACTCCCCGAGCATGGGAAACCAGTGCAGAACTGTTTACCGAAACAGTAGGAGTAGGTAATCGGAGTGGCGGTCGGGATCGGGGCGTAGTAGGACACAGGCACATACGCGCACGACGGCAGGCAGTAGGTGTAGCAGTATGCTCCGCAGCAAGACATGCTTGATGATTGATTTGTATTTAGCACTAGTTACGTCGTGTAATAATTAAAGTTGACTTTGGTGGCAGGTACCTGGCTGCAGGTGGGTTATTGTTACGTCAGAGTCTGTGTGGATGCAAGGGGGCCCCCTTACTCTACTGAAAATTCCCGCAGGTTGAATATCTCGTTGATTTTTGATGAATTGTGTTCATTGGTGGTGTTGGACGGGTGTGCGTTGTAAATTTTCAGCGAGTGTTTGCTTTAAATATGAGATTTCGAACGAAATTTGGGTGCGGATGCGGAGACTAAAATTTTGATTCAAAGGTCGAAAATAATATGTTTGATTTTGTTTCATATGTTGCGAGGCATTATTCCACAGCCGCCTGAAAACTTCTCCCGAAAACTTTTGTTTCAAGGCAACTTGTTTTATTCACATTCTGTGATTCCATTGGTTGCGACATGTTTCGTCTCCACGCAGCGCTGAGAAACAAAATCAAACACATCTATTTGATACCTGAAAGAAAAATTACGCAAAATTCCAGTGCTCGTCACGGGAGCTCCGTTTCCGTGAATATTCCTTGTAAATTAAGGCTCCAAATTAAAATACTGTAAATTTTTACATTCGTGGGTAGTACCAGTAGATGCCAAGGTTCAAGTTGTTGCTTCAGGCGGTTTTCTAAGATTACAAGATGTCGTGCTGTGGTACGTATTCCTACACCTACTGCCTACCATCATGTGCCTACGTCCCGGTCACATACTACTCGCCCATCCCGACGGCGACGCCCATCACCTATACCTACAGCTTCGGGAAGCAGTTCTCTACTGGATATCCATGTTCAGGTCAACCTTACTGTGCTAATAACTGTAATTGCGCGCCTGGATGTGGATGCGGCAACTGTGGGACTTGTGGGCCGTGTGGAAGCTGCGGGACTTGCGGAGGATGTGGTCCATGTGGAGCTTGTGGAGGCTGTGGTCCATGTAGCGGTTGCAGTCCCTGCGTTCCAGGCTGTGCTGGATGTGGTGGATGCTGTGGGGGTTGTTGCTCTGGTGGAAGCGCACCAGGCTGTCCTGGTTGTACCCTTGGTTGTGGTCCTTGCTCTGCTGGATGCGGTCCTGGTTGCTTCAGCCCAGGATACTGTTGATCTACAACTGGAGAAGATGTCTACCCGAAAAACTGCAGTACATATTTCGAATAAAATTTACCGTCATTGTGGTTTGACTTATGTGTTTATTTCGTAAATAATAAAAGAACGAGTACCTGCAACACGAATTTTACCAAATGTATTTATTTCCTTGAGCAATTCAGTTTCGGCAAGTTTACACATAGCCTAAATATCAAAACATGTAAACATTTTAAAGAGATCTGAAGATCACACTTGAGTTGTGTTCGTATTTTCACAGTTGGGAAACAATGGTGCCCTTACAAACACCCCGAGAAGTCGGTACAACAACTGTTGCAACCATAGCCGCGTGCAACACAACCAGCACCGCAAAATCCAGAGCTGCCGCAACAACCCCCGCAGCAAGCGCCGCAACAACCACCGCAACAGGGACCCGAACAGCAGTTGGTGCAGCAGCCATCATTTCCACAATATGGCTGACCCGAGCATGGATATCCGGTGGAGAATTGCTTTCCGAAGCTGTAGGTGTAGGTGATGGGTGTCGCCGTCGGGATGGGGGAGTAATATGTGACAGGGACGTAGGCACAGGAGGGCAGGCAATAGGTGTAGGAGTAGCATCCACAGCAAGACATCTTGGGGTCGTTTTACTTGGTCGTTGACTTTGGTGGCGAGAGTTGAAGGATCAGCGTCAATCGCTCGTAGTCTTCGGGGCAATGGGGGGCTCTTTGGTGTAGATATTCTGATAAATACACTGTAGTTGCTTTAAATTTAGCCGGAGTTTGATTTGTATAAATAAAGAGTCGAAAATGAGCCGTGTCTGTGTATCTATTCGTTTTAAATTTCTAAATTTCTCGTAATTTTTGGGCCGAAACGATTACTGAAATTTTGATGCTGCACACGGCAAATTAAATCTTTTGTTTGTTTACATGAAAATCAGAGCTGCCTAAGATCCATTGTGTGAATTTGATTTCACCAAATAAATAATTTAAAAACCTAAAAAAACGACAGGGAAAACAGTCAACCCTTGATATTAATTAATATTAATCCATTGCAAACCGTCTAAATATTTAAAAAAGCCCAAAATAATTTAAGTTTTTAGATTGCCCGCTAAAAATCTCTGCATTTCCGTTTTTGTATTGGAATCACTCTAGCCATGGAAAAATAGAAACAAAACATAACAAACACTCTCCCTACAAATCTCAAAATTTCAGTGAACGTTTCGGCCCACAAATTCCGCGAAAAAAATCCAAATTAAATTGATACGCATAACGCCATCGCTGCAAACACCTCACCAACACCTTATTTACCCATCTATCTATAAATCGCAGCTCAAATATCCACAATCACCCGCGTATTCAATTAACCAAAAGGGCCCCCACGAATCAACGCCCACAACACAACAGCAAGCCTAAAACCTGCCACAATCGCAGGTATTCCACACAACCACAATCTGTGACTACTACCGAATCCAAAAACCACCTCCACCATGTCTTGCTGCGGAGCCTACTCCTACACCTACTGCCTGCCATCGTGCGCCTACGTCCCGGTCACCTACTACTCGCCGATCCCGACAGCGACGCCCATCACGTATACCTACAGCTTCGGGAAGCAGTTCTCCACTGGATATCCATGCTCCGGACAACCATTTTGTCCCAGTGATGGATGTTGCACGGAAAGCTGTAGTCCCTGCAGTCCCTGCAGTCCATGTCCTCCTGGATGCACATGCCCAGCAGGTTGCGGAGGGTGCACGGGCTGCACATGCGCGACAGGATGTTCCCCTGGATGCTGCGGGTGCCCTGGATTCCCTGGCTGCTGTTAAAGAGGCACCTGGCCCTACCACTTCTGTACTGACATCCTGATGAGCAATGAGGACACGTTGCTTCAACAGAAATGGATGGATTTTTTCCAAGAATTAATAAATTTTAACCGTTTCTTTTGTTTTTTTTATTGCACATCATCATCATCATCACCTCCAGTAAATTCTTTCATATTTTGAGATGGATGTAAGTAATAGATATCATGGGGCCACCCTCTCTCCTCTCATAGTTGCTCAGACAAGTTACTTGCGCAATAACCTCAATAAGATGATAAGCAATGACAAGATAAGTCACAAAACATAACTTTACTCATCTTTAACACTTCTTATTACAAATTACCAGTATAACCATACTTCATCATGTTATTCAGATCTGCTTTAACTCAGGTAAGTTCATTCTTCAGTCTTTTTTCAGTTCAATAGCATTTGTTGCAATATAACATAAACATTTTAGTTGCAAAGAAGGCTGTACTCCCAACATGCATCCAAGTTAACAAATGTCACCAACAATGAAGGTGTGAAGACCATTACAATGTGCAACCCAAAAACAGGGTAAACAGAAGAAGTTCAACACTGACTTCTCATTTAATCATTTAAATTGTTTTAGAAATTGTTTGTCTATTCCCATGATGCAGGAGTTAATATCAAATATCAGTGCTGAATGGGAGTGTAAAGATCTCAGGGTGATTGTGTTAGCAGCTGAAGGGAAGATCTTCTCTTCAGGGCATGATTTAAAAGAATTGGTAAGTATATGTCCAGGATACCTTCCTGAACCTGAACCTAAACCAGGATGAATTACCTTTTAGAGTGAAGAAGCAGGCAGAGAAAGTCAAGAAAAGGTGTTCTCCGTGGCTTCGTCCCTCATGCGCAGCATCATTGAATGTCCTGTACCAATAATTGCAGCTGTCAACGGCTATGCAGTCGCTTCAGGTTGCCAACTAGTAGCACAATGTGATTTGGCCGTGTGTACTGACATCAGTAAGTTCTCAACACCCGGAGTGAATGTCGGAATATTTTGCTCTACACCAGGAGTTGCTCTGGCAAGATCCGTGCCCAAAGCAACCACATTAAAGATGTTATTCACTGGGAAACCCATAGGGGCTGAAGAGGCTGTCCAAACTGGACTAGTATCACATTGTTGCAGTAAGGAGGACTTTGATAAAGTGTTGGATGAATTATGCGCGGATATCGTGAGGAAAAGTCGTGCTGTCGTGGAAATGGGTAAGCGTTTCTATTACAAACAAATTGATCAGGATATTATGACCGCGTATAAGAACGGTGGGCGCGTTATGGTGGAGAACTTGAATCTTGCCGATGGTATTGAAGGTGTGAATAGTTTCGTAGACAAACGCAAACCAAAATGGACGCACAGCTAAACAGAATATTCCCGAAATTAATAAATGTTTCATTGGACACTGCGTGTTTATATTTGAATTCTGCGTGGCGACTCTTTACTGTCAGGCTACCCCCACCAGTTTTTGCGGGTTAACAGCAGAGAGAACAAATTATTCCCGAAATTAATAAATCTTTCATTGAACCCTGCGTGTTTATATTTGAATTCACTCCGTGACTCTTTACTGTCAGGCTACCCCCACCCCTTTTTACGGGTTAACACCAGAGAGACTGCTAGATGGCTAAGCACTTTGCTGCGGTTTTTCACGTCTTGTTGCATCAAAAAATCCTCACCGTTGTTTTGTAATAAACAAAAATGAAAATAAAAACATTCAAATCGGTCCAGCCGTACTTTAGTTGTACTCTAACGGATAGCAATTAATTTTTATATATATAGATATTGCAAATGGCGAGTTTAACAGTAAAAGAACATGTCATTTTTACAGTTTTCTTCATTTCATATCATTTCACGTTAGTTTATGTCTTTTTGTTGAAAATGTTTGCCGTCCCAAGTGGAAACATTATAAACTAAATAGAAAAACAGTTCTTCCATGATTTATAATGTCCGTTATGGATGGCGAATTTCTACCCTATGCTTTACAGACTTATACAACAACTTATAAACTTACATAACAAATTGTTCGAAAGGTAATCAAAGAGTTTTCGTCATAAACAACCAAGTGATGTGGTAATTTATCAAGTCTCAGCATTTCCCCCCTAAAATATAAAAAAAAGCAGAGTCTCACAATTCACCAGAACGGACACCAGCCGATGTAGCACTGACACAGGTTCTCGTTGTCGGTGGCCTGTAGGATAAGCAGATTGACCTGCTTCTCGATCGACAGCGGCTTATCCGACGCATCCTTACTCGACATCGCCACTTCCTGTGCAAAGTCCTTACCGGTGAGTTTATCGCGCACTCGACTGATGATCGCCATCGCCTTCTGTGAACTGTCGCCATTCGCGCCGTCCTGCGGTGCCATTATTTTCTTCGACCCCGTGATGCTCAGGGTATTTAAACCTTCCTGTTCCTGCGAGCTGTCTGATAAACTTACCCCATCGGTGGTCATTGCTGATTTATTCCGTGCTGCTGTATCAACCAGACGCCAATTCAAAAGCGGGTCGTAAACAAAAGCCTCGAGGACGGCCATTACGCTGTCTCGATTCCGATGTAGTACAGACATAACCCTCTCGCAGGTCCGACGGTATGTCCCTTCAATGCCTGTTACTTCCATGGCATTCGTGAGCATCCTCGTCAGTCGGAAGGGAATTTTCTCAGGGAATTTCTCTCTGGTCATGGCGACCTCGAAACAATCGCCGAAGTCAATATGTAGAATCTTCCCACTGAGTCTATCCAGCATCAAATTCGAAGGATGACGATCACCCAAACCAAGGATGTAACCTACCATGGACATCACCGCTAAACTACGCGTGTAATTCGTCCTGCGATCGAACCAAACCTCACTTGACGGACTCTTCAACCACAATAATTTCGCTAAATCATCACCGTTTGTATGTTCCAATGCATGCTCAAACACCTCGACTTTTTGCATCACAGTGAGGTGATCATAATCCGGTGCCATACGCAGCATGATCCTGTGTTCAATATTCAAAAGAATTTTCTTCTTCTCGCGATAATCACGGATAAGCGTATGCAGTGTGTCGCAATGTGGTACCCAACCGATAAGACCAGAGTTTGTGCTGAGTGGTATCACCGCATAACGTTGAATTGTTAAATTCCTGCGGTAAGTATCCGGGTCTTTCAAGAGCAGCGTGTTTACAAGACCAAAGATTTGCATGACACGCTCATCCTGACGTAGATCTTCATGACCTTTGAGCAAGAACATATAATCCTTACCATTACTACCTCGAATGAGGAGTTTCCTTGGGCGTTGCTTAGAAGTAATCACTTCCAGAGAGGCGCTGATGTGTGATATTCTCACCACTGGTTGACCAGGAGAATAACTGCCTGGTATCGCTAACTCCAAATCACGACACGCCAGGAGATTAGGAGACACGTACTGAAGTTCTAAAGAGGTTAGTTGGGGTAGTTGACGGGTTATTCTTCTGAAGACGTGGTAGTACAGGTCCCAGGCGTGGTTTAAATCTCGTTTTAGGTTATTTACCTTTAAACACAGCAAAAATAAAATAAAACATGAAATTTTCAATCGAAAAGTGATGATTACCTTGTATTTTTCACAATATTCTTGTGCTTCGCCCAAATCCCTGCCGTAAGCTTGTATAAAACTCGTCTCTTTTAATGTTTGTGCACCATTTTCCAGTCTGGCATGTAAAGGTTGCAAGACACGCAACATTCCTTCAATATCACCCTCACCAAAATATAATCTATAAAAAAACATCATAAAAACATACAAAATCTATAAAATAATATCAAACATACCTTGAAGCTTCTTCAAGTCCTTCATGCCACATCTCATGCCACAAAATGGCGACACGAATCAACTCCTCAGAAGCCATCAGAGCTTGCTTGACTAAACCAGGCCAATGCTCACTCATACTCTTCAAAATCTTATTCGCTGCTTGTCTACGAGTAAACGACGTACTTTTTGTCGCCACAGTTAGCGGATAAATCAACGCCTGTGGATGTGTCTTTCCAATATCGATTAATAGCAAATGCACCAGGGTAGAAACAAGTGTTTTGGTGTCAATGCGCGCAATCAACTGCGGAATCACCTGCAGCCAGGTATTCATCTCAATCAATCGAATACCATCAACAATTGCATCGTACACCTCGCTAACCTGCCCGTAATCAAACCACAACGTGAGTAATCTGAGTGTATCCTGCAGTGAGCTGCCTTTGGACAAGTTGATTGACTTGAAGAATCCTTCAACGGCATTCACAGCGAACGGGATGTAATTAACCGGTGATTTCTCCGCTTGTTTCTTATAAAATAGAACACTCTCGAAGTTCATGTACGCCCAGGAGTGCCATGCTTTGTACCATAAGGAATCATGCTCGGTAGCGGATTGATATCGATTGAGGATTGAAGGTATGGAGGTTTCAGTGACACCCTCGAGGTTCTCCTGCCATTCGCCGAGTTTCATGAAGCATCTAGCCAGGAGTCTGCGTCGTTCTTCATGCGTGACATCCTCATGCGCGCCTTGATCAGTGTATTCTTTCAAAAAACCCTCCAGTTTTTTATAGGCGATTGATTTGTTACCAGCCATCCACAAGTGTTTGGTGTAGGCAAAGGTCACTTGCGGTTGATCACAAGTAAGTTGATATTTCTTCTCTTCGGGATTGAAGCCTAACAGCATGACGAGTGTTTTGTGCGATAACATTAACGACCCGGATTTTCTACAGAGTGATGCATATTTCAACCAAGTATGGATGTCTTGTTCAGGTGACAAAACCAATGAATGCACTTGGATGATTCTCTGCCAGTCTTCAACAACTCTTTGTCCGGATTGTAATCGTTGCCACCACATCGTCCGAAGTGTCGGTTGACGTTCAGGAACAAGTCGGTATTGAATCACTTCTTCTAACTCAGCAAGCATTTGAACAAACACCATGGCGTTATAGGCACGTTCATAGGATTCGCCCGCCATTGCTGTGAGCTCTGTATCGATCAAATCACGCGCGCTGTCGATGAAGCGCTGCGCATCGTCGTATTGCTCTTTATGAATCGATAAAACCGCCCGGTAGAAAGCACCGTCCTGACTCTCCCGCGGCATTACTTTCGTGTACTTCTCCATGGATTCCCAGTCTTTGATACCCCATGCTGATGCAGCCGCGAGTCTACTTGCTTTTACCTTTTCAGACTCTGGTAAAATGTCAAATCTCTTCGCGACTAGTTCATGCAAATCATTCCATTCACCCAAAGCTTCGAGACAACGCATTTGACCTAAACACGCAGCGTGATCCGCTGTGTTTTTATCCAGGATATCTTTGTACATCGACAGGGCTTTGTCCCAATTATGCAGCTTCTCATACCAGCGCACTTCAAGATCCATTTTTGGTTTTACATGCTGTAGAAGACCCTCAGCGGCTTCTTTCTGTTGCAATTTGTTATTAATCGAAATCAAGGCTTCGACTACCTTTGGATTCACACCGCGGTTGAATTCTTCTTCTTTGTAATGCAGGGCTTTGGCATATGCCCTGCAATGCATTGCCTTTTCTCCTAATAATTCCGGATCAATGGGTAGAGGTCCTTTGTCGCAGTGTTCCATAAACTCAGCAAGATTCAGAATTGTCTGGGTGATTTCAGGAATATCAGCATTCACCAACGCATCTTTAAGATTCCTGATCAATTCATCATGCATATCGTCGATTTCCGTCCAGCAACTGACAAACGAAGCATTGAATAAGTCTTTGGGTAATTGTGTATATGACTGTGCTAGTGATATACATGATCGTAAAGCGGCAATCGGTGATTGTTTGAGGAGTTCCAGGCTTAGTTTTCGCGACCATTCAAGCCAGTCATCTTTGGAGACGCGGCGTGTAGCTGTCCAGGTTTGTTGCAGTGCTGTTTTGGATACTTTCAGGCGTTGAATCGTCGTTGCATCCACTGCGATATTAGTTGTATCGCCATGTTTCACTTTCGCTTGCTGTCGGAGTTTCTCCTGCAGAACATCTCGATCTTCACAGAGTGTTGTACTCTTTGATATCATTCCGATCAATTCAGGATACGCCGTGTTGGTTATCTTGTGTTTTGTGAGGACTTTCGTGACGAGTCGATCAAATATTAAAAACTTACGTCGTAGTTGGATCACAAGCGAGCAGAGCGTCTCCATGGCGGCCTCCCGCAACTCGGGATACGTATCAATGGTGCGTACCAACGGATGTACAATCCTGGATATAAAATCCGAAAAATCCAAGATCCCAGCTAGTTGATCAATGGTATCCAAGGCTTGTTTGGCTACAGGAACCGTGCTCTCTTGCGCATCGAAAAGTTTCACTATGGGTGGCAGAATCAAATGCATATAATCCTCTAAATTATTACCGAATTTATGCAAAGCTTCCAACATACGCATTACAACAGAATTATCTTTTGTAGAATTGTGACTTAAAACACGCAAAATCTGCGGCATGAGTTTTGGTAAATAAACCTTGAATTCCGCGCCCAGAGCAATAGCTATATTCTCAACCAAAGTAATCAATGTTTTCTGAATGGTGCTATGCGGTGTCCAGAACTCTTTGATAAGCGCACAAATATCATCAAGGTAGTTACGAATGTGTTGCTTGACAATCAGTATAAGATGCGCAAGCTGCTGAAAGAGGAACTCAGTAATATTCACTTCTGGTGTGCGCACAACATTCAAGAGACTAGGTAAAACCTGTGAGATGTACGGCACACATTTAATACCCAAACTTTTGAAGGTGAAAGACACGGCTTGCACAGCCATAGTGTGATGTTGACCCAAAGTGGGATCTCTGAGGATTTTCATCAATGTAGCAATCACCATCGCCAGGTAATATTCTTCTAGTGTGCTACTGCTCATATTAACCAACATCTCACTACTGGATAAATCAGCGTTGGGATCCGTGGTTTTGTCTGTGTATGGAATCAACAGCGGTGCTTCTGGGTGGTAATCAATCTGACCACGATTCATTTTGTGCTTGTATGGATCCAGAGCTCCCAAAAGTCCCAAAACACGAATTGTTTCTCTGCGGATGTATAGCAACTGCTCGGTTTTCAAAAAGTTCATCAGGACATCCAACAATACAGGATATTGCGTATAGGGTTTGACTACATGTCCAGTTGCACCGACTAATTTTCCTAGAGTGATTAAAGCAGCGCCGCGTTTGTCAGGCGCGGATGCATCCCCGAGCATATCCATAAGTATCCCCATCAATTCGTCCATCCATTGGTGTAGTTCACTCCCGCCTGCTGTTACCTCAGCTAAATCTCCAATAGCTTTCAATACAGCTAGAACCACACCGGGGTAAGGTTCCGGTTCGCGTAGTTTAGGCACCAACACCTTCAAAACCGGCTCCATGTACGGGCGTACTAATCTCGGAGCGCTAAGAATAAGATAATCCAATAACTTAGCGCCTTGCTCCTTATTTCTTCCAGTGCCTGAGTGTTCTAATTCAGTCAATAATTGAACTAGTGTTTTGCGCAAGCTGGGCATAACATACGCCGGGTTCAAAGTGCTCAATCCGCCTATGGTATAAAGCGCAACTTCGCGAATCTCAAACACTTCGTCGTGTAAAGCAACGAAGAGCGCGCTGAGAGACTCCGCCTGTGCGAGGTAGTTGTCAAAAGTCGAGTCCAGAGAGTACAACACCCAGAGACGTACATCGGAGTCAGTGTCAGTCATGCCGACAACCAGCAGTTTATTCAACACAGCCGCCACTGTTAAATTGACAGTTTCCGATGGATGCTCAGCGCTTTGATGCAGTGCTTGTTTTAGTAAACGACTACAAGTACGAACTGCTTCCAGTCGGATTTTCTGTTGCTCGTGAATCAAAAAGTGCTCAGCGCAACGTTTGACAAAGTCAAGTAAACTTGCGCCTTCAAAGTCAAAGGTACCGAGAGTATGCAACGCTAGTACAATGCTGCAGGGCTCATGGGTGTCACTCCCTAAAGAAAGCAAATCCGCTGGTAGATTTTTAGGCATCCCGGGATGCCGCAAAGGTTTATTCATGAGGATCTGATGCAACATTTTCAATAAGCCAGCACTGATTGAATCTTTAAGACATGGGACGTTTTTCGCTAACTCACGGAAGCAAATTGTCAACGGGCGACTTAAACCTGTCTGAAACATCTGGTCTAGGATAGATACAACTTCTTTCTTGAACCGTTCATCTTTGTTTGCTGCATGTGCGAGTAAAGTCACACATTTCAGGACACTCGGATCAATTTTCGTCCGTTTGCGTATGGTTGCTTCCTTGCTCGGCAGCGCCTGTTTTATCGAGTGCATTAACTTAGTGAGGTACTCCGACTGCGTGTCGAACATTGGTTTTCCTACAGCGACAGCAATCAAACCGATGGTGATATACGCGGCGGCTTTATCCTTGTCACGTCCGCCTAAAGTGCTAAACAGGTACATCATTGTCCCCTCGAGGTACTCCTGCACGAAGAGTTCGCTGTCAAACGCGGCAAGGCGAGGCAGAACGGCGATAAGCACCTGTTGTGTGTAGCTATACCGCGAGCTACGATGTGAGAGCACATCAGCACACACCGACCGATAAACCTCCATCATCAGTTTGCGACAGACGGTGGATTCAGTAACAACGTGTAGAATATTACTGGTTTTCGACAGGTTTTGGTACTGCGTGCGTTTGTGGAAGCCGTACTTGGGTTTGTTGGTTGCGTACTGTTGATCATCACCGAAGTGTCGCGTGTCGGTGATTTCCAACAGTTGTACATATTTACGCTCCCATTCGGCGTTGGAGCACCGTAGTAATTCGTTGATCACCAGGAGGTAACCATGAGCGCGTTCGTCGCGCCCTTTGTCATGTTTATCTACCTTTGTTTTGAGTTTATTCGCCTGTTCGAAGCTGAATTTGTACCATTGTGTGTGCTGGAGTTGTTTTGTTGACTCGCGTTGTGCTGTTACCACCAGTGCAGCGCGGAGTGCTTCGATTGCACCCTCGCGGATCACTGGTTTCGGATCGTGGATTGCGTTGAAGATCAACTCAAAGAACTGCTCGACCTGTTGGAAGAAGTATGTTGGCATTGTCTGCGCTAGTTCCCTTAATACTAGCACAGCTGCGTGTCTTTTGCCCTAAAAATGCCAAAAAGCGAAAGGTTTTATCAAGTGAAGGAAATTTTGACATAAATTTCATGTTAAATTAAATTTAAAGCATATTTTCAAAGAAATAACCAATGATATCACAAATAATCTTAAAGAAATTAACCTTTTTTGACAGTTTTTAACTCATTCAAGCATTTTTTGACAGTTTTTAACTCAATAAAACATTTTTTTTAGTTTTTCAAACATTTAAACATGCTTTTACACTTTAAAATTGATATTCTTCGTCTATTAATGCAATTTAACAAATCTTTATCGTGTTAGATGCAAAATTAAACACAGAATTCATAATAAAAGTAATTGTTGTTTCTTACCTCAACACGATCGCCACCAAGCCATTCAAACGCGCGTTTCACTTCAAACTCCACATATTCCGAAGCTTTCGACCCACTGACCAAAGCAAGCCGTCCCATGGTATTGGCCACGCTCTCCATTACACTGATATCGTTGCATGGTAGTAGATTGCGAAGGTAATTAACAAAACGTGATATTCGCGTCGTTGGGTCACCAACATCAGCTCCTATCAAGCATACTGCACAAACAAACAATACGAACATTATTATTGTTGATGTTTGATTTGAATGTAAACTCACCAATAGCAAGAATGCCGCCCTTCTTCTCGTTGACGTCGCTGGACGACACCATCTCGAAGATCTCATGATAGAAGGGATCCAAGAACTTGGTGATCTCGTCGGGGGTGGCCTCCCGCAGCTCGCTGTTCACGTACACGGACAGATCGTGCGCTGCCTTCGCGCGCGTATCCGCATGCCGCGACTTCAGCCCGGTGATGAACTGCTGCATCGCCTTGTGTTGCATCGCGCCGGCGGCGGACGGGCGGCCGCCGTGCGGATGCAGGGGTTATGGGGAGAGAACTGTGCGGCGTGCACAGCCGCACATCGCTCGATTCCGAAATTGTCGCCGGTGCGTGCCCGTACCGGTCTGGATTGAAGTGTTGGATCGGGAAGTCGCGTTTTGAGTACTGGCAGTTTTTGGTGTGCACGGCCTACTGTGATTGTTAGGTTAGTGTTGCTGTGTAGTGCTGCTTATCGCAATCATAACAGAGTGACAAGGTGGCGCAGCGGTCGTTCTTTTATTTTTTAATCTATCACCACATCGACACACTCCAGATGATAATCAGCAACGGAAAATCAATATTTATTACTTATAACAATTTCTGCGCATTAGGGTTAGGTAGTTTATAATATTTTTGTTGTTATTGCGAGTGAGGTTAAAATCACCGCTAGATGGCGCCACGTGTACGCTTTGAAAGTAATTCTTTGATTCTTTGTTTATTTATGCGATTATAAATATTGCAAAGTGTTAAACAGTTACAGGTAGTGATAGGAAGGTGAATTGTTGAGCGACCGGCTGATTATCGCTGTTTAGCAGGTAATTAATTGTCGTAACGCAGCGCCGCGTGTTCGATTCGATAAATTTCGCATAAATCTAGGTAAACTAGTAGGTGAGCGCGTTATCGTCACTCGTAAAAAGATAGCGTGCGATGTGGACGCCTGTGGTTGATAATGAAAATGGTTGATGTGTGACGCAAGGCGAGAAAAGCGCGTCGAATTTGGAAGTGCGCTCGGATTTGGACTTACGGAATGCGTTCGCGCAGCCACATTGCGCAGCTCCTCGCACGCACGCACGCAGCGCCAGCAGTGTTGGATTTCAGCGGTGCTGGACGGGAGTGTACGGTGGACTGCTGCCCGTCGTCCGCGAGCATATAATCCATTTCTCTGTGTCGCGCACATCGTCTGATCTCCGGTGCCCATCGCGCCCTCCGCGTCGTCGTGATTACCGCCCACGATCGTCGGCCCTAGCCTAGTCTGGTGTGGTGAGTGTGTGTGCGCCCGATACGTACGCGGCGGGCGACGAGCGAGCGTTTTTTTCCCGAGCGTCGGCTGGCTATTCGCGGCTCGTTCTATTCGCGGGCGGTGCGGTCCTGTGACCCGTGCCGCGGCCCATCCGGAGAAGACACCGAGTGCACGCCAGCAGCAGCAGACTCCACGCGCATCCACTCACAATGGAGGCGGTCGCCAAGCACGAGTTCAACGCGACGGCCGACGACGAGCTCAGCTTCAAGAAGTCGCACGTCCTAAAGGTGAGTGGTGCCTACCTCGACTTCATCATCACTAATCAATTTGCGTAGATTCTGAATATGGAGGATGATCTGAATTGGTACAGAGCTGAGCTGGATGGCAGAGAAGGCCTCATACCCAGTAATTACATTGAAATGAAAGACCATAGGTAATGTTTGCTTTAAAATGCTTAAAACCCTCAACATCCAAACCTTTACTCTTCATTTTTCACCCTGTTTTAGTTGGTACTTTGGTAAGATAACACGAGCGGACGCCGAGAAGCTGCTGGCCAATAAACACGAAGGCGCCTTCCTCATCAGGATCAGTGAATCATCTCCAGGAGATTTTTCACTCTCAGTCAAGTAAGAATCAATGATTCATCAAGGTTATTCAATGCGTTGCTGTGATACTTGAGTAATTCATACGTGTGTGACCGTTTTAGATGCTCCGACGGAGTGCAGCACTTCAAGGTGTTGAGGGATGCACAGGGTAAATTCTTCCTATGGGTGGTGAAGTTCAATTCGCTGAACGAGCTCGTGGAGTACCATCGCACGGCGTCGGTGTCGCGCTCGCAGGAGGTGCGGTTGAGGGACATGGTCGCCGAGGAGGTAAATACTTAAAGCGTCGCGCTTCGTCCGCCCGCCCCCCCCAAAAAAAAAACAAAAACACGCGCAATTTCCGTTTTACATTCAATTTACCCACTCGCGATCAATCCAGCAGCCCCCCTTGATACAAAACTACGAAATTATTCTCTCTCCAATCTCTTGGTGGGTTGATCGTGTTTGATTTTCGTTTTTTTTTTCCCGTTTTTTTACTTTCTGTTTGTCACTACACAACCACACTGGTTGTTTGATTTTTGTTGTTGTTGTTGAGCGATTTGAAATGAGGAAACATTTTTAGGTCCATGCCATGGCCCACAAAGTAACAAGGTCTGTAGAATAATAAAAACAGAATTTGATGTCGTGGCGCGAGTTTTTATTTTAGTTTATATATATATAATTTGTTTCATTTACTTTAACGATTTTCACGTCTCGCATTTTTTCTGTTTTTTTAATTTGTAATTTTTCGTTCATTTTCTTGTTGACTCGGAGCTCACGTATTGGCTTTGGGTAACTCACGCACTATATAATCACGATAACTCATTAACATTGACCTGTAACGGCGAAAAACTCTGCCTGATTCGATACAATAAATAGAATGAATCTCAAACGTAAGAATGCGCGATAACAATAATATCTATGTAATGCGACTAGCAGCGACAACGTATCACATCCACGTCGACAAACCAATGGCATATATACAACAATTGATATTTATTTATATATATTTATTTAACGCGCGGTAAATATACGCAGCATTAACGCGCGCGCCGAAACAAAGCGAAATTCCAGCTCAAGGTTAATTATTAATTAAAGTTCCGCAATGTTCGGCTGCTGCTGCTGCTAGAGAATATGTGAGCTCCGCGCACATCCACACCGAAAACGATATCATCGGTTATTTCTTTTTATTTTTGTCGTCGTTGATTTGATTTTTCATTTCATTTACACGTCGATAAACTACTACTAAAACATGTAATTTGTAATTTGCTGCTTTCAATGCGCAAACAAACACACAAACGAAACGATTGCAAGATGCAACCTGGACGATTAATTTTATTTCCTCATTCAATGCTAATTAATCGTATCGATACTAATCGCATCTTGGTTGGCATTCATTCACGCGTGTAACTAACCGAATAATAATACACAACGGCGACGGTGGTGTTGATGCAAGTTGTTTTTGTTTGTTGTGTTGTTTTTGGTTTCATTTTGCGCTCGACACGGTCGACACGGAATGCCTTGCGAATGCGACATGTTTTCATGGGTTTGTTTGCTGCTTGCGTCTTCTAAAATCAATAATAACATGCGACTGTTTGTTCCTGTTTGATATGATTGTTATCGGGGGACAATCTGGCTGTAAAAAATCGATTGAACAACTTTACAAATATTCAACCTATGCATTTTTCACGTTTTTGGCCGAATAATTGAATAGAAATTTGTGTCAACATGCTGTAATATTTACTTTGATTACATTTTGTCAACATGCAACAGAAATCTTATTAGGGTTTAATATCGAGACTTTTTTTTAATTATTATTTGCTGTGGAATATTCCAGAAATTATCTAGAAAATGCTTGTTTTTCTATTGAAATTGTTTGATTGTTGAAAATATGCAAGTAAGAAGTATGTTTACATAACATAATTGCTAGTTTTGATAACAAATTTATACGCAACATGTTTATAATCGAAAAACAGTTGCGATAAACAATTACAACAGAATTCGGTTGGAAATGTTTATCGATTAAGTAGAATGTTGTTATTGGTAGAAAAAAACCCGCAGGTTGCCTCATTAGGCAAGTTCAAATATTTATAGAAATTACTTGTACACTCGGAGTAAACGAGGAAGTTTACATCTTGTTTATGTTCGAATCCATCACCATCACCGAAATAACTCCGGAGTTATTCACGTTTTCGTGCGCGAAATGAGTATTGTATTGTTCTCGGAAATACGACGTTTAATAGGGTTTATTACAGCCAGATTGTGAATGTCGCGCTGCGAATACTGCCGGAGCGTGATGCAATGCTGATCGTGTGTGTTTTCCATTTTTATAGTATCTAGTTCAAGCGATGTACGACTTCACGCCGCAAGAAGCCGGCGAGCTGGAGTTCAAGCGCGGCGACGTGATCACCGTGACCGACCGCACCGACCAGCACTGGTGGCACGGCGAGATCGGCAACCGTCGAGGACTCTTCCCCGCCACCTATGTCACCCGCTATCACCAGCCGATTCTATAAGCGGCGGCGGCACCACCACCGACCACCACATTTCTACAAACTAAAATTAGACAACGCAGAACGAAGAAGACCAGACCACGAACGACTGCAGCAACAGCAACATCAACAACAACAGCAACTGAAACCCTTCTGTTTTTTTTTTATTTTATTCTCTTCGTCATAGAATTCGTTTTTAATTAGACCTATATTAGATTAGTGTTGCTGACCGAGAAATACGTTCTCTCGTGGATGGACGATCAGTGCACAATGCTAACTATAAGGATATCAGATTATTGATTATGAATAACGAACGAATCTTTTATTACCAAAATCGGGAGCGGGCGATGGATGCACACACACACACACACACAAAATGAAAAACGATGCCATTTTTCGGGGGATCTTCGCCGCGCCCGCGCGTTTATTTCTGCTTTTATTATCGCTATACTACGTTTATTACTCTATAGAGCTCATCATCATGTTTATTATCAATCGGATGATATTAGAACGGTGTTTTTTTTTTTATTAATATTTATGTGATACGTCTTGTAATCGCGCATACAAATTGCCCGTTTCTCGCGTTGCGACAAATTCTGTAAATAAGTAACAAGTAATTAATTAATCGTGGCGAATGCAATTTATTGTCCGTTTCGTTGATTTCGGTTTCTTCTGAATTCAGTTTGGATGGAGATCAATTAGCGTATTCTGCGGAGAGTTTATCGACGTGCCAGCAGTACACACACCACATCTATCTTATCTTATATTTAACGATACAATACACTATTTAATAATTTTTAAGTCATATTTATACACAACAATATCGCTAGTAATGTTTTTTCGGGGAGGAGGGCCGCAACGCGATCACGTCAACGTATAGGCAGAATATATTTTGGCATTACTACGAATATATTTATATTGTAAGTGTTTTTCTCTGCTCTTTGATTATATTTTATTATTCGTCGCTTTGTTTCGTTTCTTATAAAAAAAAAAAGAAATACCACGATGACACGGCGTTCCATCAATGATAATGTGTAAATACTAACGACTAGAAATACATTTTATTAAGTGCTACGATTTTATTTTAGACGATTCTATATTAATAAATGAATTATATTTTAATCTGAGACATGCTATCGTGTTTATTTAAATTCGGAATCGTAAAGAAATGGAAGTTCTTTGCGGTTTGTTTGTTTTCTGTTGTAGTACGATGTGGTGTTGGTAGATGGCGCTGCATGTACCGAAACAAGGCAATTCGTGTATCGTCGTCTGCTTCGTCTCCCACCGCTTGTATACGAGCCGACCTGCTGACAGCGCCAGCCGTAGTCAGTCTTTCTGGTGAAAACTCCCTTTGGCGTTGCCTCACGTAAGTACAAATCTTTGATTATCTTTGTAATCTGCTCTATTTACGCGTCTAAAATGTCTTCAAGTTCAGCTTTGATAGCGATAATGCATGTGTGTATGAATATTTCTGCGCGGAAAGTGTTTTTAATATTGTTTCTCAGTGAAGAGAAATGTTGTGTTGATTCTAACCTATCCGGTTCATGCATGCTTTTGGTGTTTGCGGTATTTTCATCCGAACTATGTTCATGCAACAATTGAATTTACTGATGATGGTTACTTAGTTACATATTATTAAGAGTTTTATTTTCGTTACAGGTTATCGTAACTCATAAAACGTTGAGAAAATGTCGGGAAACGTAGACATTCTCGCTCTGAAAGAGGATGATGTGACCAAGATGTTGGCCGCGTGCACACATCTTGGCTCCACAAATGCCAACTTCCAAATGGAACAATATGTGTACAAACGTCGTACCGACAGCGTACACATTATCAACTTGCGCCGCACGTGGGAGAAGCTTCTTCTGGCTGCACGCGCCATCGCCGCCATCGAGCACCCAGCCGATGTCTTCGTCATCAGCTCCAGGTCTTATGGACAGCGTGCTGTCTTGAAATTCGCCGCACACACCGGCGCTATTCCTATCGCGGGTCGCTTCACTCCTGGTGAGTTTACCAAATTTAGTTTTATCAATTCCAAAACCAGCATAAAATGATGATAAATTGAACTAAGGAACCTATGAATTTGATGATTTTAACTTGTTCCCTGATTTGCAATAACCAAAAGTGCTTTTTGTGCTTAAGTTTGGAATAGTGTTTATCAACGTTAGATTATTCGTGTTCCAGGTGCCTTTACCAATCAGATCCAGTCGGCTTTCCGTGAGCCGCGTCTCCTGATCGTCACCGATCCAGCTATCGATCACCAGCCCATCACTGAGGCGTCGTATGTGAACATCCCTGTTATTGCCTTGTGCAACACTGATTCGCCCCTGCGTTTCGTGGACATCGCTATTCCATGCAATAACAAATCGCCGCACAGCATTGGTTTGATCTGGTGGTTGTTGGCTCGTGAGGTAAGAGTCTACAATAGAATTCACCAACACTTCAAAGAAATAATGATGAAAAAACAGCGTTCCATTCAATGAACAAACACCATGATTTTTAATAATTTTTCCACCTGAAATTTTCATCTCTAACGTGAAAATCACTAAAATTTCAAAACAGAAATTAATTTTCGAGCGTTTATTTGTTTAGGTTCTCCGTCTGCGTGGTGAAATCCCACGTGAGCAGAAATGGGACGTCGTGGTCGACTTGTTCTTCTACCGCGAACCCGAGGAGGCTGAGAAGGAGGAACAGGCCGCCAAGGAGCTGCCCGCTCCCAAGGCTGAAGCGCCCGTGGCGCCAATCGAAGCGTCCGAGGCCGCTGACTGGAACACCAACGCCGAGAACAACTGGGCCGATGAGACCACCGGCTTGGGACCCGCAACGGTTGCACCAACTGGTGACGCTGCATTCCCTGTCAGCGAAGACTGGGCCGTACAGGTTCAGAACGAATGGTCGGCGAACGCTGCTACCAGCACCGCTCCGGTGGCTTCCGTCGTCGCTGCGGCGCCTGCCCAACCCACCCAGAACTGGGCAACAAACACAGAGGCATGGCCTTAAATGATTTTTTGATTAAATGAAAAAGACTTGTCATGAGTCAACCATGAATATGAAAAAACTTCTGTATTATTTCCCCATCGACGAAAAGTAGTCTGCGATTAGCGCCCCTTAACGCTTAATTATGTTATATATATTTACGTTTAATCCTGCGTTCCTGCTGTAGTTTATATGCACTGCGGGTTGTCTATGGCAGAAGCAGGAATTTTATGGAAATTCACTCTGCAAGCGGGAAATTTAAACGCGGCGTGCGGCTCACAAACAAACGAAATGAGATTAAAAAAAGCGCACGCATCCGACGCAGGATAGGTACGCGCAGCCGTGTGTAATCTGAGAGAATCGTGTGCGCCAGGTTCCATTGCCATGCCTAAAATCAAAATTAAACATTTTCCTTGGCCATTGAACTCGGCGATAATAATTTCGTCGTGTGTAAGTGCGTAATACACATGTTTATCGGCCGTCGCTTAATACTTATTATTGTTACTGTTTGGAGGACGCCGCATTACATTCATATATTATTCAAGATGGGATTTTGTTTTAAATCCCTATAAATACCGCCCGATGGAAATGCTCACGCGTGAAAATCCCTCATTTCAAGCGCAAACAACGAAACGACCTTCAACATTTTACAGGGGCGTAGAATCATGCAGCCCATGAAAAAAAAAAAGAGCGAAAACAATTGTATTATTTAAATGTATCAAGTAGATCATAGTGTTAAACTTATTGGTTGGTTTTTGCGCTTTGGTTTCTTGAAATTTTGGAAATTTAACTAACGATCTTTTGTTCGTTTTTGTGAGTTTGTGCGTCGGTTGCGCCACTGCTTTGACTTTTGCATGCTTTCAATGCCTTCCGATAAAGCGCGCAATTATATCTAAGCTCCCGCTGATACTAAGCAAATCAAAATTCGAGGACATTTTTTGCGTTGTCACCGTAAAAAAAAACCGCTCTGTTTGCACAAGGATGAGAAAGTGCGAAAAGCGGCGACTGCGGTCGCGGGTTGCAAGCAGCGCACAACAAATATCGATGTTGTTCAACTTGTTTTTTGTGCGAACGGCGCGCGGCGCATCCTCCATCGCCCGCCCGATTCGAATTGGAAAATCGTCGACGACGCGGCTGTTGTTTGTTTGCCGACCGAACGCGTTTTCAAACGCGGCGCGCGCGCGCCGTGACTCACGCCGCTTTTATTTATTATTTATCGACGGGCGAAACATTCCGGAACTGCAGATATTTCTTGCAAATGCAAAACCACACTTGTAATATGTATTCGAATGTTTGTAGTTAATTTTTGTTGTTTTTCGCAGTCGAAACATGCCGGAACTGATCGAGTGAAAAATCGAGATCGACGGCGCGCTGTCGAAGAGCAGGAAATCAATCTTGCGAAACGCGCCAGCTGAAAATAAATCTCTGCAAGCGCTGAACGCAGACGTGCCATCATCGTAAAACGCGCCAATTGTAAATTATCTCGAAAGAGGTTTACGCAGCGCACGCGTGGCGCAACTCGTGCGCGCATTTTTGCATCAACATTAATGAGGTGCGATGTTATTGCGTTTTCGCACCCTGCGGCCGCAGCAAACTTCAAACTTTATTAGTTCTTCAAAGTTAACACTTCGTTACATCAAACACTAACGATTCATTCAATGTATCGAGTGATTTGAAAGTGATTTTGGTATTTATTTGCGATTTTTTGTTTTAGTTTTGTTTTGTTTTGCTAGTTTCAGGATGTTATAACTTTTCTTGGAAGATACACGAGCTCCTAGGTGTGTTTGGGCTCTTCTTTCGTGGTTCTCTTGGGTGAAAGAGAAGAAGAGAGGAAGGCTGTGGGGAGTGAGACACACGATGATGTGTGGAACTCACACGCGGGGCCACCATCGCGCCTGCGGAGCGCGGACGACGACGGCAGGACCACGAACCAGTCGGTTCACAGCGCGGTTTTACTCACGGCGCAGCGCGCATGGAGGCTCAGTCAACGCTGGTAAGCGGGTCGAGTGGGTCGCGACGTTCGCCGAGCACGAAAGCTCTCGCAGCGCATTGAAGTACGAAACCGTCGCAGACGAGAGCAGGCGCGCGCGGAAGTCTGCCGCGAGCAGGACGAGGGTGGAAGGACCCACGGGGACGCGTGTGCGTGAGTGCGCGTATCGAAAATTTCACGAAAAATTAAATTAGGTTAAAAAAAATTATTTAAAAATCGCCAAAAAAAAATACCGGCGGGGTTCAGGTGCTCCGGCAGGAAATCAGGAGTTGCCCTCGGAGGTGCCCGAGTAAACGAAAGTGGTCGCTAGTGTCGTTTGTGGTGCCATGATCTAGCAGCCATGATCATATCCAAGGACCTGTTCCTGCTCGGAGACCAAGACTATTTGCGCCTCCCTAATAAGGATTCAACGAGACCCAGTATGATACGACCCAAGGCAACACCGAGGTAAGACGCTCGTCTCGCAATGCGCGCAGTGTCGGCGGGTCGCACTTGTCGTCTTGGGAATCAGCAGGACGACCTAATAAATCCGCCGATAAGCGCGCAAATCACAGATATCTGCGTATGCAAATATGTAATTACTGCGCGCGGAAAGAAAAAACGAACAATACGCGCAACAAGACTTATTCAACTCGCATGTTTCAACTTTTGAATAAGTTAGTGCGCGTGCGGCACTATCGCGCACACACCGCGCAATATCCAATCGTAAAAATGCGGTTTAATAAACTTTGAGCTGGAATTATTCAATAGACGACGATTCCACCGGCGTCGAGCGGGCGACAATGTGGATTTCATTGTCCGTAAAACCGCGCCGAACTCGAACTCCGACTTCACAACTCCACCTCGACGCGCAACCGTTTAAAAATTTATTAGAAACATACACGCGCGAAGCATGTCAGTAGGATTCCTGCCGAACGATTCGTGTTACTCGAAAATAATTTGACTATCGTGTCGAACTGTGTGTGTGGATTGAAATGTGTGTCGACGCACACAAACATCCTGCATCTTTGGATCTAGCAACAAAAAAAAATCTTGTTGGCAAGGACCTCTTTATTATCTCGCAAAAAAATTCATATATTTATTAAAGGATTACATTTTTCCACAGTCATTTTATTTAATTCGGGAAAAATACGCTAATCTTTTAATATTTTAATATATTTCAAACGTTTGAAGAATATTATCGCGGGACTTAGATATTGACGTTTGACATCACGTGTGTGGGCTTCGAGGAATATCCGAAAAACGAAAAAGAAACAAATGTGAAGCGTAATTAATTAGTGTTTGATACTCTTGTTTGGGGAACGCACGGGCACGCAAGATAAACCGCACAATACAATGACAAAAGCAGTCTAAAACATTTTTAAACAAATATTCACGCAGCGATTATTTTCAGTCAACTTGGTTATCAAATAACATGTGATATTATGTTTAGAATTCGTCTACATGAGTCGATTAAGCGTTTATTTGGCTTGTTAATAATTTTTTTTGACGAAACACGATCCCCACACACAAACAAAAAACCATTCCGTCGAGGAAATTCATATTCTTAGCGCGCGCGACGGTTTAGCTCCTCGTTAAATCGCATTACACCACATTACTGCACTCGAGCTTCCATTACGTGCGTGTGTGCATACGGGAGCAATAAGATTATTACAGGCTGCAGGACGCGCCAGCCGCCCCGATCGAAAAGCACTCGAAGTCTGATTGTGCGGCGCGCAGATTAAACTTGATTTAATTGAGTTAGGTTACGAGCGCCGAGCAGCGAGTGAGCTTTTTCAATGCACCCGGAACAGCGTTTACATAATCACGTTGTAATTGAATTGTGAGCGACAACGGATAAAAAGTGCTGGTTTTCAGGATTTCCAGCAGGAAAAAACGTTTTCCGCGCGGCAGGATTCCGAAGATCCTTCGCGCGTCCGCCGATTGGACGCTGCTAATAGTCTGACACACTTGCACTACCGGGTCAATGCACTTTATCATCTTTCTTCGCTTTTATTTGCTCACTTATCGCCACTATTATTATAATATTTAGAACTCGCACTCGAAGCGGTCGGCGCGCGGCGCTCGCCCTGCCGCCGATGCACACGCAGCAGCGCGACACGAAAACATCGCCGGGGCCCGTCAGCGGCGGCAGGAGGCGCAACAAACACGCGCGCGCTTGATGCACACACCGCTCGCGAGAGTCATTCGCACAGGCATATAAAACCGCGCGTTTTATTAATATTTTCAATTATTTTGTTTTTGTTCAATTATAATGTTTTTGTTTTGCACGCCGCGCGCGTGTTTTTATTATCTCTGCTGCTGGTGCTGCGAGAGTCGAGGCCCCTTGCTAATCGTTCAGCAGGATAAACGCGCTGCGCCGAATTTCCTTATTAATGCTGACGCCAGCAATTTGCATATCCTTCCTGTGTTTGCTCCGGCTTGACCATAAGGATAATTGAAAGCGGGGGAGAACTTTTCAGACCTAATCACATTACCAACTCGCAATCAAATCAATTTCTAGCCAAATGTGAAATCCAGCCAGGGTGAATAGACTTGTCTTCCATTAGCCACTCGACTTTTTCCGCATTAATTACGCTTCGAGGACTCGCCCACAAACAAAACACGCTGCTGTGATACCGAAACGCGAAAGAAAAACGTTTTTTTCGCTCTCAAAGCATAAAAGCTTGTAAAAGCTTTTCATTACCTCGTGTATGCAATACTTTTTTGTCCTAAATTATGCATTTTGCAAGCTTTACAAAGCAGTGAAGCGAGAAAATCGTTTTTTTTTTTCTTTTAATTAATCTACACACAAAAAACGGTAATATTTTAAGAAGACGCCTAATTTAACTTCTGTCCTGTCTAAGTAGGTCTGAGATTTATCCTGGGCAATGAAAAAATACTATTATTATAGTTTTGTGAAGAAAAGTTTATAGCTGGTATGCTAACCCCGGGGCTGGCGTAGAGCGCGCAGTGCAGTGGAGTGTGTGGTGCACACGGGGCGACGCGTAGTGGGTTAACCATTGCCGGGTTATACGATGCCCGGCTGAATGAGAGGAGCCGTCGCGCGCGACCGGCACACACACGCGAACGCATCCGCGCCGCGCCGCATCCAACGGGGCAAACACACAACGACACCGACACTCTCACTACATCCTCTCTTTTCACTTTCAGCGGTCGATGAACCGGCAGCAGCGGCGTGAGCGAGCGCGCGCGGACCCGTTGCTCGCGCGCGCCGCCCGGTTTGCCGTTGCTGCGGTTCTCGTCCTGTGTGCAACAGCAGCAGCGACAGCGTGCGCCCCATGCATGCCCCGCGCGTCGTCTCGCGCCGCGCTTACCGGGCTACCGTCCTGCGCCTGTCGTGTTGTCGCGAGTCCTTCGATATTACACTTTTGCGCTATGCAGTCGAAACGTATCACTACAGCCCTCAGCTGCGCGCGCATGCGTACTCAAGGATAATGGATGATTATGTATACGAATTCGCATGCATGCACCATGCGTGCGCATTCATGTGCGCGTGCGTGCGGCAACGGCGACACGTCTTCTTCGTGCGACACTCATTTATTCCATAGCAT